AATTTTTTCAGTTAACATCTTTATTCATTTTATTAATAATAAATTATAGTTAGAAATGTTATATATATATTTTGTTTATTATCAATTTATGTAATTTATTATAAAAAGGACATATCTTCTAAGATAATAAAATTAACTTAATTATTTTTACAACAATTAAAATATCTGTTCATAGAAAAACGTATTCATATTTTAACTTATAAAAAGTAATTCTTACAGATAGGTAATATAGTCAAAAATCTATTCGTTTGAAGAGAATGCAATACTTACAACATTAGATTCATCATTATCTTTAATGTGGTTATCAATTAGCATGAATTCGCACTGATTAAAAAAAATTTTTTTATAAATAACTATATAGGTTTGGCACAGCAAATTTTATGAATCAAATTATCCCATTATCATAAAAGGATAAGATTTTTGAGAAAAAATGAATTGAGATTGGCTACTTCTAGTGACATATACAAAGAGTCAGAGAGTTATGTAAACTCAACAAGTCAGATTTACAAGTACTTTAAACAATTGATTGTTGTGCCTGACTTATTGAGTTTACATGTTTACATATGTATTCCAATTATCGAGATTTTATTATTATTATAAATATGAAATTATGGAATAAAATTTTAATATAAGTGGTACTGATTCCTGAAAAATTATGAATTATGAATTTATCATATATGAATTTAACAAGCTTTGACTGTAGTCCTAATTAATACCCCTAGGTTATACAGTATAGAAAATTTATAGATGATAACTTTTATCTTATTAATTATGATTAGTGACATCAATTCAGCAATTAAAAATAATAGGAAATTATGTAATTGTATAGATAAAGGAAAAAAATTATGATGATGAACTGTATAAATCAAAAAACTTGAGTTAAAAAAAATATATTAGGTAGCAAATTTTTTTTATAATTCAATTTTTAAAACTGCAAAAGAATATGATTAAATTATAACTCTATTTATGGAGATGGATAAGAGTGATAAATTTGAATAGAACAATTAGGTGAACCATTAGATAATTGAGCAAGAAGTTCTTGTTGCTGTTCTTGTATCTTATCACATATGCTATCCATATCTTTCATAGTCTTTTCCAAACCTAGATGAATCTTCCATAAGCTATGTATGAAACCCAAAACAAGGCTTTTGTCTGCAGACAAATCATATGGAATTTCAAGATCAAATATTAGACGTACACGACATAATGGGGACCTGGTTGATCCATTATGTATATCTTGAGCTTTGTTTCTGTTTTATAAAAAATTGAAAAGATTTTAGAATAATTACCAGATTTCAATCAAAAAAAAATAATAAAAATAAAGCATGATAAAATATACCATAAATGTGAAAAAGGAACACTTACAATGGAATTATTGATATGGACAATTTGAATATTGATGAAGTTGTTGAACTTATTGTTGCATGTGATGAATTAAATTTTGATGAATCTGATTTTAATGAATTATTTGATGATGTACAAAACCATTTGATTGCAAATGAAAAAGAATGGACACTGGATCTTTTAAATTATTTATATCAAATTTCATCAAATAATCAATCACTTGGTATACTCAATAACCATATTGAAAAATTAATTAGCAATACACCATCATGTCTCCTAAAATCCAATGATTATAAAAATATCAAAGAACCAATGCTCATATCTATTCTAAAAACAAGATGTTTTGGATTTAGAAGAAATTGATATTTGGAATCGTATCATTCAATGGGGATTTGGACAACTTGATAATTTGTATGGAAAAAAATTTTTTTCAGAGTTAAATAAAGATGAAATCATAAATTTGAAGAAAATTCTAAAAAATGTCATTCTTTTAATCCGATTTCAAGGGATCACTAACAAAGAATTTATTGACAAAATTGAACCATATCAAGTGTTATTTCCTGAAGCTTTATGGAAAAATATTTCAAATAATAATTCAACTCCTTATGAACAACAAAATTCAAATTTATCATCATTAAGAATAGTTTCAACAATGCTCAATCATGAGAAGCAAGCTTTGCTTTTTGCAAGTAAGGTTGCTCATGAAGTTCCACCATACACTTCACTCAGAAAAGCCAAATATGACTTCAAACTACTATATCGCAGCAGTAGAAATGGTCTAGAACCAGTTCCATTTCATCAAAAATGTGATAACATCAAAAAAACTCTTGTGATTGCTAAAATAAAAAATTCAGAACAAATAATTGGTGGTTATAATCCACTTGAATGGAATGGACGAGAATGGAATGTACAAATCAAAGGTTTATATTTAATATTATTGATAGAAATCATGTTGATACTGGACAATTTAGTTATGTTGTTGAGAGTTGGAAATATGATTATGCAGTTTCTTGTAATCCTCTCAGTTTACCATATTTTGGTAAAAGTATTCAGTTTCATTCAAATGGTCAAATACATATTGATAGTGATTCAAGAATATATAATGACATCATGATAGTAGATCATAGTGAATTTGATGAACTGGAAGTTTTTCAAATAATTGATAAAAAAATAAATTAATCTAGATACAAAATTGATTATTAATTTTATTTTTATTATATTATAAATAAATATCAGATATCTATAATTTTACTAAATAAATCTTATTTTTACTTATTTAATCTTTAAAAAAACAATAAACACATTGCTTACATACACTTAAATAAACCTAAGTGATAAATTATTATTATTTCAATTTTCTTTTCTTTTTAGGTTCTTTGTGGTTCAGTGTTAATGTTCTTTTGTTAGTTATGAATTTTCCTTCATTGGTAAATTTCATAGGTAATCCTTTCTTTTCTTAGATAAGCTTCCAGTGTCTGAGTATTAGTGTTCCATGTCTGCAATTCAAAAAAGAAAGCAAAGGTGGTTGCAACCAGGTGTCACAAACCATTTTATATGTCGCAAATATGGTTGCAACCATCATCAAAAGTTGCGTCCCTGCATCTATACTGAGTATTGTTATTTTGAAATTATAAGGGGGAAATTCTTCACCTTGTTCTTTCTTCAAAATACTTCTGATAGTACTATAATTCTTTGGTTCCATAGTAGATCTGATATAAATGAGTTTCATATTATTATTTTTATATAGAGGTAATTCTATATATCACTTAAGATAACAAATGAGACATTATAAAACTGATTGCACTACAATCATACTAAATTTTGATCCCTGAAATTTTTGGTAATACCAATGTTCACTTTGCCTGATTTTGTTGCCTCAATTGTTGTTAAAATGTTGCAAACATTTATAAATTTTTTGCCTTTTAAATATTTTGTTCTTTGATTGATCTCTCTTTTCTCATCTCAAATTTAAAAAACCTATAAAGTGAACATAAAATTATATATAGGGTTATAGGTATATGAAAAGTAATAAGTATAATGGTTCTAATGAATATGAAAAGGCAATTAGCTTTTTAGAAAAAGGTTGTGATTGTGGTTGCTTTTCAAGAATCCCCAAGGAACAATTTGCAGGATTAAGGGAATCCTTTCAAGCTCTTTCTAAGTCTGAACAAGACATATTTTTAATGGCCCTATAGAAAAACAAGTGTAGATTGTCTAAACCATGTGGTTGAGGTAATAAAAAAGTCTAGTCCAGCAGGATTTAATAAAGCTCAATTTTATGAAGGTGGAAAAGGTTTTCAATACTTAGATATTAAAGCAATTTTGGGAATTTATTTTAAGAAATTACCAAGCATACAGAAATATCAACATTTTCTTTTTGAAGCATCTAACTTTGGTGTGGTCAAAGTTCAGGAAATTGCTAATGGACCTTTTATTGAATCCAATTTATTGAAAATCAAAAAAGCAGATATTTTTGAAGAAATTAGAGCTTTGCCTATTTTGGTGTTAACACCGCTTACTTTGGATTACAAAAGACAAGAATATCTTTACCAGAATATTCATCCATTTGTGAAAGACAAATATAAAGATATTACTTGCCCCAATCCAGCATAAAATGTAATTGAATAATTTTTATACTAAAATAAAATGACATAATTAACTATTATGTTTTTTAATCCTCACTGTCTTAATAACTAAAATAACTAGAAGACACAATAGTATTCCACAACCAACCATTCAATAAGTTTTCTCTCTCTTGTTCTTATTAAGTTGGTTTTCTAGTTGAGCCCTGGGAATTTTATTCCATTTTTGATAGTAAGTTTCAGGATTTCTTATTTTTTCTGCAACTCATTCATCTTAGAAATTGATTGTTTTTTTTGGGGTCTGAATTGCCTTCATCATTTTGCAATGTGAATCTAGGAAAAAGTAATATCAAAGATTCAGATATGGGATAAGTTTCACAATAACTTGAAGAATTTCTGTTTCTTTTCTTCATATTGTGTGGCCTTTTCATTAAGTTCACTTTTGATAGTAAAACCACCAGCAAATGATGCAGATTTCATTTTTTGTATAAGTTCTTGGCAGACTTCTCCAATTTGGTCTCAGGTTCCTTGGTCTGGGAAAACTTTTTCTCAATATACTTTTGATTCCTACACTTCCATAACCTTCTTTGTATTTAGGGACCACCCGCATATAAAATGGGGTGAATTTTGGGTGCCAATTGGTGGTATTGGTATACTAACTCTGTAGCCTTTTGGATTATAAGCCTTGACAACCTTTTTAACAACATCTCTAAGTACAGGTAAAATATCTGATCATTCTTGCCTAGTTATTTCTTCAAAAGTGTCAGCATGGTGTTTGGTACACAATGTTACATGAACTTTAGAATTTTGCCTTAAAACCGCCCCAGCAGTTACACTTTTCCCTAGCTCAGAGACTTGAGATTTAAGCATTCCTTTTTTATTTAGTTCCATTTTGTCACACAAATAGCAAATTAGTTCATTCCCTTCTGCACTTTTTGGACAAATATAACTAGGAGTATTATCATCTTTTCAAGTAAAGTGTTCATTTTGTTTACCTCTTGCAATTTGTTGGTGGAAATTATGACTATACATGAAGTCGAAATTAAAACCCCAAAGTTGAAATGTTTTGACTTGAGGCAACTACATAGTAAAAATCAGTTTCAACCTTATTTCGACCCTATTTCAACCAGATCTGCAAATGGTTGAAATAGTTTCGACTTCATGTATAATTATGACATTGCAAGCATTTATATCCTTGACTAACTTCATAAGTGGTAACATCCCAGTCCAACATAATTGCACCTAATGACCACCAATCACACTCTTTTCCATATCCTTGCTGTAAAAAAATTTCAGGTGCAATGTAATCAGGTGTGCCAACTGTAGAATAAGCCTATTTTCAAATAATAATAATAATATTATTATTATTATTATTATTATAATTATTATTAATATTATAATTAATTAATTAATATTTTTCTTTTTACCAATGCCCTCCTATTCCTTTTCCATGTGGCGATTCTATCCTTATTTGATAATGTTAAATTGATGTTAGGTTCACTATTTAACGATCTATGGCCTATTGTATTATGAGAACCTTCCAGAAGTCTTTGATAATATGCAGAATCATGAGTTCTATGGAATCCTGTTGAAAGTCCAAAATCAGATAATTTAATATGACCATCTTTATCAATTAAAATATTATCCGGTTTAATATCTCTAATGATTTGATTTTTTTTTTAAAAAAAAGAAAATTTTCAAAATTGGCACATTTTTAATATTAAAATAATCATTCAATCAATCATTTAATTAATTAATACCTATGGATAAAACCCAGTTTATGAATTGCATCAATCGCTAACACACACTCTGCTATATAAAATCTTGTTACGTGTTCTGTGAATGTATCATATTTCATTAACATTGTCATTAAATCACCACCTGGTAAGAATTCCATAATTAAGTAAAGATATGATGTATCTTGAAATGAAAAATACAATTGCACAACCCATAGTGAATCGGCTTCCGCTAATATATCACGTTCAGCTCTTACATGAGCCAACTAGTTAAAAAGTAAATAAATGGACATGAATAATAAACATGCATACATATGTAAGTACGTACGTGCGTAAATATATAAATAAAAAATGGTTGCATATTGATTACCTGATCTTTTTTAAACATATCAGTTTTTCTCAATGTTTTCATTGCATATATTTTACCAGTATCTGCCTTTTGAACTAGTCGGACCTAGTCAATTAATAATAAATTAAAAATTAAAGACAGACATTTCCAATATTAATTCGCACTACAAATTATAAAATGTGATCTTTTTTTTCTTACCTCACCAAAAGCACCTTTACCAATAACTTTAATAGTAAGAAAATCTTCCAAACCTATTCTAGTTCTTCTAAGTCTCAAAAATTGCGACTCTTTGGTTCCGAGCGATGAAAGTTGTCTATTCTTTCGTTCATCTGAACATTCTTCTTTCTCAAGTTTTTTTTCAAGGTCATGAAGACTAAGTAAATAAATAAATACATATGCATGAATAAAATATTTAAATTGTTGATTATTTATTAAAACATTTATCTATAACTAATCTCCCGGTCAGTAAAAGAACTTAACCTATTACCGTTCATTACGTTCTCGTGCTTGATCTAAAGTCACCTTATAAAAATGTTCCAATTTAAGTTTTGCTGCAGTTGATCTATCCAATGCACCTTTTGAAAACTCTTCTGTACTTCTATCAAAAACTACATACTCATTGCCATTATTATTACCACCACCAAAAGGCACGCCAGCATTATTACCTCCCGCTAATTGTGTATTATGCATGTCGTAATCAGCCATCTTGTTCTTAAGTTTTTTATAATAAATTAGTTTATAATATATTTTTTCAGTATTTGGGGCATGATTGCTGTAACATAAAAATTTCAGGGGCCTGAATTTTAGCGATAATAATAATAACAATAATAATAATAATAAATAATAATTACTAATCTCTAAAATTCCCGATTGTCGATCATGTCAAATTATATTATATGGGCATGCAACAAAACCAAACAAAGTGAACATTGGTGTTACCAAAGATTTCAGGGATCAACAATGTTTGCTTAACATCACAATGTAATGCGATCATGATATTTGTCTAGACAAAATAGTTAATATGAAACTCATTTACATCAGATCTACTATGGAACCCAAGAATTATAGCACCATTAGAAGTATTCTAAAAAAGGAACAAGGTGAAAAAATTGC